CCCCAAAACCCCAAAACCCCACATAGCAAAATTAAGTTAATAAAATTTAGTTTAGTTTAAAATTAATGTTACAAATTGTTTGAGTTTATTAATATTATATTTATATAATATAAATTATTAAGAACTAATAAAGAGCTCATAGCTTAGGGTGAATTGATCAAAATTACATTATTAAATTGATCAAAAATCAAAATTTATAATGAAACATTCTTTTGAACCCCCACAAAATATTAGAGAATATAAATTTAGTGGTATTCTAGGTGAAGGTACAAATGGATTAGTTTGCAAATACATAAAGAATAGTTAGCCTTATGCTATCAAGATGGAAAAATAATAATATAATAATTCTCATCTGACAGAAAAAAAATTCCTAGAAAAAATGAATGAATAGCGTAAAAGTGAGAAGTAAAATGAAATTGGCTAGATTCCTAGAATCCCAATTTTATATGGATATGGGAATGAAAAGGTTCTAATTAAATCTGAGTATGTTTTATATAAAAATTCTTTATACTATATAGACAAGGAGATGTTTTAAGTACTATTGATGCGTCTTACTTAATTCTAGAATATTTTGACAAAAATCTGACTGAATACTACACATTATAGGTGGAAAATGGCATCTAGGGTTAGCTATAAGTCTTTGAAGAAATAGTTAATTTAATGAGATGTTTTCACTCATATAATTGGATACACAATGATATTAAACCAGACAATTTCATGGTAAAAATGAATAAAGAAGATAATAAAGGCATTGTTTTTCTAATTGATTTCGGAGGAATAAAGGAGTATTCATAGGCAAAGTTTGATAAATATAATGATAAATTTCCACTTTAAGGTACTCCTCTTACTGCATCTATCTTCTCTCATTAGTAATATTACTCTTGCTAAGGTGACGATTTAATATCTGCATTCTATTCATTACTCTTTTTAAGTTTAGGATAGACACTACCATGGCTTTAGCTTTGCCTAGATTATGGCAAAGCTCATAATAAAAATGAGATTTTAGAGAAGATAAAAGATTTAAAAATTAAATTGGAACCAGATCCAAATTAATTCGGATTGTTTGAAAATGCTTTGATTAAATAAATAAAGGATTTTGAAAAATTAAGATCTGAAAAACCCTCCAAATATACCACGTAGATAGATTACGATTTAATCATAGAGTAAGTAAGAAATGAATGCTTAAACTAAAATTTATAAGAAAATTTAATGCTATCAAAGTCTGAGGTTTAATCAATTAATTATGATGAAATGATTGAACTTCAAGACATTGAAAATAAAAAATCATAAGATAATTAACCTATTGATGAACACATTAACAACAATAATCCTGAAGCCATTAATTCACAAGATGTGATTAATTTATCTTAAATTTCCAGTTCATCATCAACAAAATCTGCAGAGAATAATTTATTGCCTCAAGACTAAAATTCAGTTGAGGAATATTCTTAATTATAAAAAATTGAAAATTAATAAAATGAAGAGGAGGAAAAATTTAATGATATTTATTAACAACGATCTATAGAAAAATCATGTCAAAATATGAATCAACTAATTCAAGAAAGCTAAAAAATGAAAAACTAAAATCATAGCTATGATAGTTAAGATGAAGAAAGTAAAAGTCCCTTATTAGCAAAATAAGATTTGGAAACAAATTAACTGAACAAGCATAATAATTATAAACAAAGTAATCATAATTTAATGTTTAATTTTTACAGGAGAATCATAAAAATCTAAAGCATCAAATAAATATTGTTTCTTTAGATTAAGAAGTTATTTATGTTGTATCAGAAGATGATTATTGAATTGATTTTTTGGAAATCATTCTTTATCATGTTACTAGATTATTTGATATAATTTTCTATTCAATTGTTTATTCAACGATTGATTTGAGATTAATACTATTATGGGGTTTTGGGGTTTTGGGG